GCCAGGCCCTCAGATGATGAGGGAAAGTGCCATTTCAGAGCCTGATTCAGTGGCCTTGTACCACTTTCATTTTTGGAAAACTAAGTGGCCACTTGGAGCCTGTTGCTTGGAATTATCCACAGATCAGTGAGTAGTGCTGGGCCCATGAGTGTGAAAGAGTGACTGCTTCACCCTTTCACAGAATTTTCCCCTTCTTTAAATTTTTAACATTGTTGAGTCCATGATTACATTTTATGGCTTTTTAAAAATATTCACTTTTAGGAGGCCATCCTCCAAGATGGCAAAGCAGAGGAAGGAGGAGCTTCCCTTGTGCTCTGCTGCTTGGAATTTGAATGACATAAATAAGGCTTCATAATAAGGTGAGTGTATGAAGAGAACCATTATCAATCATTATTTGTATGTTCAAGATTTGGAGAATCCCAAAGATTCTAGTGCAGTGAACAAAAGATATAAGAAACTACACTAAGACCTTGCAGAAACACTGGTGCTATGTCACTACAAAGGAAGGAGAAACAAAATGGGAAAGAGAAACACAATGGAAAATTTCACACACAAAAAGTGCTCTGTGTTTCTCACTTTGTAGGTGAGAAGGAGACCCAGCTTTAGGGGATTTTACCGAGTTTTGCTTCTATGGGAACCTGAGAGTCCTTAACAAATGTTTTCATCTGTCTCAGCCAGTGTTTACCGTATGACCTAAAGCACAGCTCTCAAATCACAGTCCCAAAGCATTCCCAGAGAATAGTGGATCCGAGGGAATTTGGAACAGAGATATAGAAGAAAATACATCCTGTTTACTCTTTAAGGTCAGTGACACAAGAATGACCACCAGAAAAGGGTGAGGGAAATTGTGCAGGCAGGAGTACATAAGGTAAAATAAGTGTGATTATAATAGGGACAGAAGAATGCAGTCCAATTTCCTTTAGAGCTCTGTGGCACCAATGATCAACTGCAAAGGGTAAGGGGAGATTGAACAGGTGGGCAGAATTACATTGGGGATGAAGACTTGGAAACCAAATTTGGGTGGTAGATGGGCTACAGGAACCCTGCCTTGAACCATCCACCCAGAGGTCTGTCAATCCACCCTGAGGAGAACTCTGAAGGCAATAGAGTCCTAGATGCCCAGGTGAGCTTAACTTCTACTCTATCCAAGGGGTGCAAGGATTTAATCTCTCCAGAGTACTTACCCATAACAAAGATCCAAAGGCATGAAGAGTTTTGGTCACAAACCCAGTAAAAGGTCTTTCAGTTCCAATCCCTCTGTACTGACTGGTGAGTAAGCAGAGAAGCTGAGAGCAGGTTCAATGGGCTAAAGTTCAAATTTACTCCAGCAGATGGAGTGGAAAAAAATCACAAAAGAACATTCGGCTGAACCTTACCTAGTTCAGACTCCTTCTAAGAGGCACAGTAAGGGACAGAAAGATAGTTTGGTATAGAAAGTAAATACAGAATTTCAGGTACCTCAGTTGGAAATTTTCAATATTTTTAAGAAAGAACTTTTTAAAAAGCAAAAGAAGCTACTTTCACATCTGGCAGAATAGGTTTTAAGCCAAATTTTTTCAGAAAAGACATAGAAGGTCACTTCATTCTATTTAAGGGAATCATTCAACAAAGAGATGTAATTGTTTAAATATGTATGCCCCAAACATTTGTGAACTTATATACATCAAACAAGACCTACTCAATATAAAGAATAAAATAGACTTTTGTACAGTAGTAAGGGGTGACTTCAAAACATCTCTTACACAGATAGGTAATCCAGACACAAAACAAGTAAAGACTTTTCAGAACTTAAAAAATTCACATTAATCTTATGGATATAAGAGATATTTATAAAATATCCCATACATTAATATCTAAATTTATTTTCTTCTCAGCTGCATATGTAAACTCAAAAATAGACCATATTTTATGAAACCAAATAAATCTTACCAATTATAAAAATACAGAGGTAATTCCTTGAATCCTATCAGTTCATAATGAAAAAGATAGAAATTAGTAATGAAATAAAAAAATCATTTTAATATCTGGAGATTAAATTATAAGCTTTTGAATGATAAATGGAATCATAGAAGAAACCTGGGAAAAACAAATTCTTAGAGGGAAATGAAAACAGAGGTACAACTTATAAAAATGTCTGAGACATTATGATGGCCTTTCTAACAGGCCATTTTATGAGATGAAGTGCCTATATTTAAAAAAATAGAAGGATTGTAAATAAATAATATAATGTTACACCTCAAAGTCCCAGAAAAGGAAAACCAAACTCATTCCAAAATCAGTGGAAGACAGAAAATTATTAAGATCAAAGCCAAAATTAATGAAATTGAGAATAAAAAAGATACCAAAGTTTAATGAAGTGCAGAGTTGTTTTTTTGAAAGGATAAATAAGATTGAGTATCCCTAACCAAATGAGAGAGAAGACCCAAATCAACAAACTTAAAAATGAAGAGGATTCACCACAAACACTGCGGAAATCCAGAGCATCATTAGAAATTAGTTTGAAATTATGTACTTAATAAACAGGAAAACCTAGAAGATGTTGACAAATTTCTATACACATATGATCTGTTCAAGCTGAACCATGAAGATGTAGAAAGCCTAAATCTACCAATATCAAGCAGTGAGAGAGAAGCAGCAAGTAAAAGTTTTCCAACAGAGGAAAGCTCAAGTCAGATGGATTCTCATCTGAGACCTTCTAACTCTTGAAGATGAACTAGTGCCCCTCTACTAAAAAACAAAACTCAAAGTGGATGCAGCACTACACTCATATAATCCCAGCAGCTGGGAGGCTGAGGCAAGAGGATCACAAGTTCAGAGCCAACCTCAGGAATATAACAAGACTGCATGCAACTTAACAAGACCTTGTCTCAAAATAAAAGGTAAAAAAGGACTGGGAATTTTTTCAGTGGTTAAGCACACAGGCTTTAGTCCCTGGCCTCCCACCCACCCCCCCAAAAAAAAGAAAAGAAATAATGCCAAACTTCCTCTAATGATTCCTTGATATAAGAAAGAAAGAAGCACTCTCAAATTTATTATATAAAGCCAATATCACACTGATATCAAACATGTCAAAAATACATCAAGGAAATAAACAACAGACAAATATTCATGATCAACATAAGCACAAAAATCCTTAATAAAATATTAACAAATCACATTCCAAAACACATCAAGAAAATAATACACCATAATCAAGTGAATTTCATCCCAGAAATGCAAAGTTGGTTCAACATACACAAATGGATGAATGAAATTCACCATATAAATAGAATTAAGAACAAAAATTAATGCAGAGAAAGCCTTTGACAAAATATAGCATCCATACATGTTAAAAACTGTGTAGGAACTAGGGATAAAAGTAATTCACCTCAACATTATAAAAGATATATATGACAAACACAAAGCAACAACATCAAGCTGGATGAAAAGGTTATGAAAATATTTTCTCTTAATCAGATACAAGACAAGGATGTATGCTTATTACTCTTATTTAATAGAGTTCTTGAAACTCTAGTCATAGCACTGAGGCTAGTAAAGGAAATTTCAGACACACAAATAGGAAACAGACAAGTCAAATTATCGCTGCTTGTGCCATGATCCTATGTCCAGAAGACTCCAAAACTCCATCAGAAGCCGCTGGAGCTGATAAACAAATTTAGCAAAGCAGCAGGATACAAGATCAGCATAGTGAAATCAATAGCTTTTCTATACTTGAATAATAAACCAGATAAGAAAGAAATCAGGAAAACTATTTTATTCACAATGACCTAAAAAATTTTGGGAAGGGGGATATATGTAATCCAGCTGCATGAAATGAAATAAAATTAATTCAAACCCCTGTTCCTCACCCTGAATAAAACTCAACTCAAAGTGGATCAGAGACTTAAGTACTAGAATAGAAACCCTGTGCCTAAAAGCAGAAAGAGTAGGTGCAAATCTTCAACATCTTGGCCTTCAATATGACTTTCTTACTGATATCCCTAAAGAACAAAAAGTAAAATCAAATCAACAAATGGGATGGATTCAAACAAAAAAGCTTCTTCACACCAAAGGCAACAATAACACAATGAGAGAATCTACAGAATGGGACAAAATCTTTACCACATGATCCTCAGATAGAGTAATAATCTCCAGGATACATAAAGAACTCAAAAAACTTAATACCAAAAAATAACAAATAACCCAGTCAATAAATAGGCAAAGGAATTAAACAGGCACATCACATAAGAAAAAGTACAATCAATCACAAATACATGAAAAAAATTTCAACATCTTTAGCAATTAGAGAAATGAAAATCAAAGCTTCTCTAAGATTTCGTCTCACCTCAGTCAAAATGGCAATTATAAGTACACAAGAAACAATAAACATTGGCAAGGATGTGAAGAAAAAGATATACTCAGACATTCCTTGTGGGAATGAAAATTGGTGCAACCATTGTGGAAAGTGGTATGGAGATACCTCAGAAAACCTGAAATGGAACCATCATTTGACCAACTTATCTCACTCCTTGTTTTACACCCAAAGACTTAAAATCAGCATATTACATTGATACATCCACACCAATGTTTATAGCAGCTCAACTCAAAATACCTAAACTTGGAACGAACCTAAGTGCCTTTCAACAGATGAATGGATAAAGAAAATAAGGTGTGGGATTCTACAACATGTACAAGTAGAAATATAAGAAATTATACTCCATCTATGATGATGCATAAAGTACATTAAATGTCACATATAACCAATTAAAACAAATTTTTAAAAAGTTTCTGCCCAAAAAAGGAAAGAAGCATGAGAAAAGAGCCTACACAATGTAAGAAAATATTTGCCAGCTACTCCTCTGATAAAAAATTAATAACAGAATATATAAAGTACTAAAAAAAACTTAATACTAAAAAATCCCAAATAACCTAATCAATAAATGGGCAAAATAACTAAACAGACATTTCTCAAAAGAAAAAATACAAATAGCCAACAAATACAAGAAAAAAATGTTCAATATTCCCAACAATCAGGGAAATGCAAATAAAAAGTCATTGAAATTTCATCTCAATCCATTGAGAATGGCAATTATCAGGAATACAAATTAATAAATGCTGAGGAGGAAGTGGGGAGAAAATGTAAACTCATATACTGTTGATTGGTTATATATTAGTAAGTGTACTCGGGAAAGCACTTTGGAGAATTCCCAACAGACTAGAAGTGGAACGACCACATGATCCAGCTATTTCATGTCTTTGTATTTATTCATAAAGAACTAAAGTCAGCATACTATAGTGATACAGGGGCCTCAATGTTTAGAGCAGTGCCATTCACAATAGTCAAGTTATGAAACCAGCCCACGTGTCTATCAACAGATAAAGAAAATGTGGTGTATAGACACATGGAATTTACTCAGCCACTAAGAAGAAAAAAAACTGTGGCATTTGCCAGTAAGTAGATGGAACTGGAGAACATCATGCTAAGTGAAATAAACCAGGCTCATCAAGTTAAGGGTTGAATGTTTTCTGTCATGTCTCACAAAGAACAAAGTAAGGGGGGAAGAAAGATAGAGGGACACCATGAAAATAAACAGGAGCTAATCGAGTATATTACAGACTTGGGACTAGGAGGAGAGACAGGAAAAGGGAAGAACCATGGAGTGAAATTTACCAAATTATGCTCTGTACATATGTCAATATACCACAGTGAATTTTACTTGCATGTATACCTACCTATAAAGCACAAATCTAACAATACAAAAATATAAGGAACATCAGAAGAATAGGAAAAAATGGGGGAGGGAGAAGAACAGGGAATGAGGAATTAGTGGGGACTGCAATGAAGCAAATTTTGTTTCACACTGTATGATTATCTCAAAATCAACCCATTATTTGTGCACTAATATAAAACATTAAAAATTTACTTTTCATTTTTGCACCTAACTTAAAATTATGTTTGATTGGCACGTATAACATAGAGTTTTCTTGCAAAAAACTTTAAGATAATTTTAACTACAACTATAATGCACTAAAAAATAAAAAAGATAATTTTTAAAAATTCATGTTCATTTGGAAGTTTATAATTTCAGTCAATCTTAGATGGAAGGAAAAATCTGAGATTAAGTCCTAAACTCATCTGAATGTGAAAAAAAGAAAAAAAAAACATAAACCAGCTTAAAAAATACTGACTATGCTTGTCTGGAATTTTGGTAATTCTGGGTTATCTAGGAGTAATTGTTAAAAGTAAATAAACTAGATAAATGTGATTGAAATATGTGCTTATAACTGTGTTCTTTATGTACAGTCTATGTAATGTGACAAATATAAAACATGACTTATTTCTAAGAAAATTTAAATACTGAAACATTAGTAGCTAAATAATGTTTTTTTAAATAATTATTTGCTCTTTTTAGATACATGACAGCAAAATACATAGATACATATGTGGAGTATAACTTCCCATTCACTTATGTTTTTTTTTAAATCCTATAAAGAACATATATTTGAGCCTATTAATAAAATGTGTTCTCATCAGTTGTTGGTGTGGGGAAGATGATGGGATTTCATTAATAAGCAAAATGACTTAAACAAAATGTCTGGGGATTAAGGACCATAGGGAGCTATATTTTAATTTTATAACTTCTTAATTAAGCACATTGGTAGAAAGAGTGGGTGAGCTCTCAATCAAAAGATCTATTGCTAGCCTATCATGCACACATCAAGAATCCAGATATCATATAAGATTTTCTGTTAGATGTGAGTAGTTTATGGCAATCCATGAAGAATCCACAGTCAAACGGATGTTCAGAAGGGCTTCCTCTCTTCATCCAACTTGCCTTTCACATGGGACATGGATCTTGAATTCTGTCACCTCAAGGCATCCTGCATTGTTTTCTCTTCTGGGCTTACTCCTGGACACTTTCTCCATTCTGGATGGCTTGATGACCTAAACAAGAAAAACAAAAACTGTTTCTTTCCCTCCATAAGATTGGTCTATGAAGTATCAAGACACATTATAAAGAACTGTAACAATTAAAGAACTTTGGTATTTGACATGCAAAAACCAACAAATTGATCAGTGGGAAATAATACCCACTAATAGAACTCATGTAGCCAAGCATTTGTTTTATGAAACTTATTTTTCAAATTAAGGAGAAAAATAGACAAACTGCTAAATTCTTCTGGGACACTTAGTGAACTATTTGGATCTCAGTAATTTGCTGAGGCTGACCTCAAACTTGTGATCCATGTGCCTCAGCTACCTGAATTGCAGGGATTATAGGCATGTACCCACCATGCCTGACCTCATTATCATTTGGGAGCAAAAAAATCTTTAAACTTTATTCCCCATCCTGAAGCACAGATTCTCTATGCAGTATCAGGGAGTACAGAGATAAATAGTACCCCTGTGTCCTGTGTTCTGAGGAAATGACTAGAGTAGAGTAGGCATGTGCCAAGATGTAGTAAACACCTTCCTCCACACTTTTTGAGGAAAATAATGGGGTGGGAGCAATCTAAACATTTTAAAAAAAATATTAATCACACATTTTATGTCCAGACAATCAAAAGCAGGATTTTGTGTGTGTGTGTGTGTGTGTGTGTGTGTGTGTGTGTGTGTTGAAGAAATGAATGTGAAATTCAGTGAGGTAAGATGAGGGTGGAAAAGCAGGAAGTGTTCTAATCATAAATGGCACTGGGTATCCACCTGTTGTGATCCTACAGTGAAGGCAAGTTAGGGAAGGGCTTTTGATTGTTTTACATCAGGGAATTGAAAATGACTGTTGTACATTGGATGGAGGTGAGATTGGAAGCAGGGAAAATGAAAGAGTGACAAAGCTCTATATGATGGGAATGAAGGGAAATTTCATCATTCCCTCAAATACAAAGACATATTCTCAGGGCCCATTTAGTGCCAGGGGTAATGGTTAGTGCCAGAGCTACAACAGTCAAGAAGGCAGATGCAGTCTGGGGGCTCTCAGGTTTGGTTCAGTGTAGTTTAGCTGACAGGAAAATCAATATAGGGATTTACAAGGGACAAGTGTCTGTTTTGCATTTATCCTGTGAGTTCTGTGTTCAGGGTATGTGACCAGGAATGACTTCAGGATATTGAATTATCTAAAGGGGCAGGATAATCAGTAGGGTATAAAGACTATGTGGGGCAAATGGAACACCAGAGGATATTTGACCTGACTAAAAATCTTCAAATTCCACCTAAAAATCCAGGAACTTGGAAAACTGAGAAAGGATTAGAAGTTGTAGGCAGTCACAGAACTTTAGTGAGACCCCACCTCAAAAGAAATAAAAGGACTTGGAATGTGGCTTAGTAGTAAAGCACAAAACACCCCTGTGTCCAAGCCCAAGTACTAAATAAATAAATAAGAAAAGAAACTTCTAATAGTGATGATTAATGATGCTGGTAATTAAATTTTGTGCAGACTTTTTGCCCATAGAATATGGGGTTTTACTATATATATAATCTCCTTTGAAAAAGATTTAGGAGGAACAAAGTATAAACTTATATTTGTTAGCTGATTTCTTGGCATCATTATGATTGAGTGAACTAAATGCGGTGATATGGGAGAATGAGGCAAGCAGCTAAAATTTATGTGGACAAATTTAGTTGATGGGCAATTGTTATCAAGTCTTCTCAACAAAATTCAATGTCCTAGAAGCCAATTTGCTAAGTGATCGCTTTTCCAAATTCTCTCAATTTATAGGGTGTGGTTTTAACACTTTGACAGAAATCTTAAATAGGCTTATTGAACACGTTTACTTTGGGTCATGGAGAAATGAAATGGTACTTTGTTTTGTTTTCCTATTGAGTACTGAAGCCAGGGGCACTTTATCACTGAGCCATAACCCCAATACTTTGTATTTTACTTTTTAAATTTTGAGACATGATCTTGATTAATTGCTGAGGGTCTTGCTAAGTTGCCAGATGGCCTTATACTTGTGGTCTTCCTGCTTTGGCCTCCTGAATAGTTGTGATTTCAGCTGTGCACCCCTGTGCCATGCAGGAATTATGTCTTTTTAAATGTTCACCTGAATGTTGATGTTTCTGAGCCTGCACTATGCTGTTCACACCTCTATCATCACATGGCTCCAACTACAAGACCTGCTGTGTGCTGAGCTCTTACCATGGTGGGAATTTTTAAATTGTTCTTTTTTAGTTTTTGGGTATCATGAATTGACCCCAGAGTCACCTTACCACTGAGCCACATCCCCAGCCCAGAGTCAGGTTCTTGTTGAGTTTCTTAGGGCCTCACTAAGCTGCTGAGGCTGACTTTGAACTCAATATCCTCCTGCCTCAATCTCTCAAGACACTGGGATTACAGGCATGTACCACCACTCCTGGCTCCTTGTGGGCATTTGTAACAAGAATGAAGGACTCAGAAAACATGTTCTGAAGGCAAGCTTCATATAAAGAATGTGAAGTAGGATAGCAAATACAAAAGAGATTGGCCAATATGTGTGATAGCTAGTGAAAATTACCCATGAGACTGGGCCATGTGGAGCTGATTCCTTGGGGTGAATCATGGAGTGAGCTCTGAGGAGAGCCTGTCTGGAGCTGAGGAAAGAGTGAGAACAAGGCAGTGAGGGTGTCTGTCCACTAGTTTTGGGAAGCTGCTTGATGGAGGATGGGAGGAAAGGCAACTGGTGTGAATTCATGGTACTGAGAAAAGAAGGAAACAAAGCTGATGGGAACTTTGAATTATTGGGAAACAAGTAAAATCAATCTAAGACCTACCATTTTATTGGATTGATAGAAGAATTCAGCAAAATAAAATTCTGAAATAGTTTTTGACACCAATGGGCCAACTACATTTTAAAAATAACAACTTTATAGACAATAAAAAAAAGAAAACTGTTATCTTTGACCTTTAACATTATCTCTTACAAAACATGTACTTATAGTCTAGCTAAGTACATAGACACAAAAATTACTGGAATGGTGGGAATAAGATACCTCCACCCTTTTGCTCCCGATGAGTGAACCAGGGGTCATTAAAACTGAGTTACATCCCGAGTCCTGGATTTGTATCTTGGTCAGAGTCTGACTCCATTGCCAGGCAAACTTTGGGTGCTCTGCCTCAGCCACCTGAGGTGCTGGGTTCTATGTTTGTGGCACTGCAACCACTGTTTTCTTTTCTTTTCTTTTTTTTACTTTTTTTTCTTCTTTACTTTTTTTTCTTCGTTGAGTGTATAATGAACATGGTCACACCAAAATAAGGTCAGAACTCTTCAAAGGCTGGTTTGGTTTTCTATGATGATTAAAAATGCTTGACCACTATGAAAATGTACAAAAATATGAAATGAAAGTGAAAAAATGAAAACTGTCTTTTTAAAAGTACTTTGAAGAAGAAAAAACAAAGAACCATTCTGTGTTGCAAATTCACATTGAGGTCTGGCTGAGTGGAGGGAGAGCTCACGTCATCTGTCAATGGTGCTGACCAAAGTGGGCAGGTGGGACTTTCTACTGGAAAATGACCAGTTGAGATTGAGATAGGGAGTAAAGGATGACTAGGTCACATGACATTTAAAAACATCTTAACTTTTCATTGTTTCTCTCCTTGTTTTCTTTTTCTTTTTCTTTGGTGCTGGGGACTGAACCCAGTGGTCTTGTTTACCACTGAGCTTCATCCCTGGTTCTATTCATTTTCTATTTTGAGGCAGGGTCTCACTATACTACTGAGTCTAGCTAAAATGCTGAGGCTGAGGCTCCAATTTGTGATCCTCCTGCCTCAGCTGCCTGCCTGTGTTGCTGGGATTACAGTCCGGTGCCACCATGCCTGGCTTCGTTTTTCTTTCCTTGCTGTCTTGGCATTGGTATCAACATTGCCATACACATACACATGCCTTCAGCTGCCTGTTTGCCATAGGTACCACAGCCTCCTCCTTGACATCCCCATCCCCTTCCTCACCACCACCTTCCTTCCCTTCTTCAGCTACTTCATTGTCTGCCTGGCCTCTTGTTCCCCATCATCCTCATTAGCATTACCATTAGCAGGGGCGGTTCCATTCTGACTCTGCCACAATTTCCTTTTTCTCACTGAAGTCCTTGGTGGTGATCTCAGAGCTGGTGCACATGGCTGTATTTCACATGGTGGGAAAGTCATGATTCCATGCAGAGGGTCCAAAAAGAAAACATGAGACTTAGATTTTGGAGTCAGACCTGAGTCCAAGAGTAAAGAAGGCCATCAGCAGAGGAGGCTGTGGCTAGGGGGAGTGGAATCCTAGAATAATGCCAATGGATTTGGAGCTGCTGGTGGCTCAACCCAATTTTGGTTTGCTCTACTCCCTCAGTTGCTAATCTTTTTAAAGCCTTCTCTTTCCCAAAATATTCCGCCACATACTCTAAATCACCTTTATTGTCTCAAATGACAGGTTGAGTTGCTCAAGCAGAAAGCACAGGACCCATCTGCAGTCCTACCCCACGAAATGACCTCCATGAATTTATTTGCCCATCAATCTGTTCCTTGTACCTTTTCTTCATTTTAGATGCAGAGATACCATCTATCCTGGGATCAAGTTAGAAAACCACATTCCTCTCCCGTGCCCTTTAAAATTTATCTTCTGTAGTGCTGCCATTAACTTGCCCAGTTGCAAACTTATTTTATTTATTTATTTAGGTACTAGGAGTTGAACCCAGAATCATTCAACCAGTGAGATGCAAATCAGCTCCATTTTATATTCTATTTAGTGATATGGTGCCACTACATTGCTTAGGACTCTGCTACATTATGGAAGTTGGCTTTGAACTTGTGATTCTTCTGCCTCAGAGCCCTCTGGGATTACAGGTTGCACCACCATGCTTGGCAAACCTTATTTTTCTCTGATTTATCTTGTTGTAGTCAATCTCCTCAGAGTTTGACATCAGGTAATTTAGTTAATCACTTTGAGCTTCAGGACTCATCTATATAATCATGTATATCCCCATAGGGCTGCTAGGAAATAATGTGGGAAAAATCAGTTCCAGCTGCAGAATTAGCCTTCAAACATTTGGAGGTTCAATCCCCAGGAAGAAAAAAGAAAAAAAAAGTCATTTGTTTCAATAGAAAGAGAGGCAGGCAGATTACTCTGATTCAGAAGAATGAGAAACAACTGTTAATCATGGGTTGCATTCTCTACACCTGAAGTACAAAAAAAAAAAAATCTTCAAAGTATTATTACCTCCTTTCCACATGTGGGAAAGTACAAAGTCCCAGAGCTGTGAAGAAAATTCAAAGGCCTGCAGTTTCCCCGTTTGTGAAATGAAGATTTTTGCTCTCTATCACAGGACTCTATGAAGAACAAGATGAATTAAGCAGGCTCTGTGGTGCATACTTGTAATTCCATACCTGTAATTTTGCGGCTGAATCAGGAGGATTGCAAATTGGATGGCAGAACTCTAACTCAAAATAAAAAATCCTGAGGGATGTGGCTCATTGGTAGAGTGTCTCTGAGTTCAATCCACAGTACTGACAAGAAAAAAATATGTATCTATTGTTATTTTTTTGACCACTGATCTAAAGATCATAAAACATAAGTGTTATGTCTTATAATGTTCCTATTGTTCCTATGTGCTTATTCAATTTCAATCTGTACCCTCTTTTGCTTCTGAGCTCAGAACTCCATAATCAATACCCTATCAAGTGTTGCAACTCATCTTTGAGTAAAGAATGATGAGAATGTGATAGAGGAGCACAAGGGTTTAGGTTCAAGATCAGGGACATACTATGGCTTAAATTTATGTGTTCCATTGAACTCAAGTCCAGGTGGGGAAAAATGAGTACCCTATGGCGGGGGGTGGGGGTAGGGGGCATCAGGGGGTGCTGGGGTTGTGGCTCAGAGGTAGAGCGCTGGCCTACCATGAATGAGGCACAGGGTTTGATCCTCAGCACTGCATAAAAATAAAGATATTGTGTTCACCCGAAACTAAAAAATAAGTACTAAAAAATATACCCTACCTTATATAGATGTTATACGGATTAAATCTGATGAGTTTCAGTGGGTGCTCAATGAATGGAAGGTAGGATTTGCTGAGGTAGGTGTTAGGTTAAACATAATCAGATGTGTCTAGGGTGGGTTGCAGGTTGCAATTGTGCTGGCCATGCCTCATTGGGTGGGCTGCTTGTGTCTGTCAGGGGCCAGGCCATCTGAGGGCGTGCCTTGGGCGGGCTGTATTAATGGATGCTGCTCCAGAGTTGCTCACTTTACCACGGAGAAAGCCTAGGAGCAGAGATTCAACATGACTTCTAAAGGTGAGGTTATTTGGTGGAGGATTAAGATGTGTTTTTTCATGGCAGGCTGTGGACTGCATGAGTTAATGTTGGGGAGTGGGGGTTTTTCAGCTGCCTTCTTCTTTCCCTTCTCCCCCTTCTCCCCCTTCTCCCCATTCTCCCTTCTCCCCTTCCCCCTTCTCCCCCTTCTCCCCCTTCTCCCCCCTTCTCCCCCCTTCCCCCCTTCTCTCCCCTTCTCTCCCCTTCTC